TCCTTTTTTTTTTTTTTTGAGTTGGAGTCTCACTCCGTCGTCCAGACTAGAGTGCAGCGGCCGCTCCCGGCCACCGCAGCCTCGACCTGCTGGGCTCCGGCCATCCTTCCGCCTCAGCCTTCCGAGTAGCTGGAACCACGGGCGTGCGCTACCACACCCGGCTAATTTTTGATTTATTGTAGAGATGAGGTCTCGCCAAGTTGCCCAGGCGGGTCTCGAACCCACGGGCTCAGGCCATCCACTCACCTCAGCCTCCCAAAGGCGCGGGATGACAGGCTGAGCCACCGAGCCCGGCTCCTTCTTCCTTTTCATCCGACAGTGTCACCATCTTGCTAGGGGTCTGCAAGCTTTCTGTGAAGGGACCCCTCTGTGCTAGCAACCTGACCTTGCTGGGGGGGGTCCCTGAGTAGTACCTGTGTTCCAACAAAGCTTCATGGAGAAACGTGGAAATGTGAGTTTCAACTGATGTTCACAGGTCACAAAATATGGCCTCAATGTTTTTTTCTTTTCTTTTTTGAGAGACAGGAGTCTCGCTCTGTGGCCCAGGCTGCTCTCGAACTCCTGGCCTCAAGTGATCCTCCCACCACAGCCTCCCACAGTGCTGGGATCACAGGCCCCTGGTCTACTTTCTTCCCAGTCATCCCAGCTCCTCCCCCTGCCCTGGGGCCCCGAGGTCGAACGAGGCCAAGGCGAGCCTGGTGTGTGGCAGGTGACTGGGAGAAGAGCTGGGATTGGGCGAGAAGTTGCCCGCGACGGGAGCTGTCACCCTCTGGCAGCTGGCGTCCACCTCTGCTCCTGCGCCCCAGGTGGACTGCCAGGCCCCGTCCTTACCTCCTCGCCTGTGGACGCCGGGCAGGCTGCTTCCTCGGCCAGTGCGTTGGAGAAAAGGAAGAGCTCCTCGTAATCCGCGTTTGCCGGATCCTTCTGCGGGGCAGAAGGGACCTGTGGCTAGGCGCTAGGGGTGGGTGGGGACTGGGGTCTTGCTCGAACCCTGGGAGGGTGTCAGGGAATAACCTCTCAAGCAGTTTCTTAGGGGCTAGGTGATGCCCTCTGGGATTTATAAGGAAAGGGCCCCCCCACAGGAGTTTCCTACGGGTCAGGCCACGCCGACTGAGCTTTGTTAGGAAAAGTGCCATTCCCCAAGGTCCGCCAAGGTCATACCCGGCATGTGAATTCTTGTTAAAGTCAGCCTGACCGGGCATGGTGGCTGAAGTCTGTCATCCCAGCATTTTTTGGGAGGCGGAGGCGAGAGGATTGCCTGAGCCCAGGGGTCTGAGACCAGCCCGGGCAACTCGGCAAGACCTCGTCTCTACAATAAATCGAAAAATTAGCTGGGTGTGGTGGCACGCGCCTGTAGTTCCAGCTACTTGGAAGGCTGAGGCGGAAGGATGGCCCGAGCCCAGCAGCTCGAGGCTGCGGTGGCCAGGAGTGTGCCACTGTACTCCAGCCAGGGTGACAGAGTGAGACTCAGACCAAAAAAAAAAGTCAACCTGGGACCAGAGCCCACAAGGGCAGAGCAGTGTGGCAATCGGGATCACGAGGGCACAGCCGTGGGGGCCAAGGGCGTGGGGGGGCAGGAGGGCCCAAGGACCACCAGAGAGACGGAACCGAGGGACGCTGGGGGGGCCGGAGGGACAAGGGCTGGGGCTCAGCCCTCGCCACGCTGGCCCGGGCCCTCACCTGCCTGCAGGGGTGTGTCAGCAGCTCCCCGCGCGGCTCGATCGGCGTCTGCCGGTGGAAGGAGACCAGCTCGTCCAGGGAGGCGTGGGTCACCCTCTCCCCTGGGATCACCAGCGTCCCGTCGTCCAGGAGTTTCACCATGAGGTGGCGGCAGCAGCTCTGGGCTCTGCGGAGACACAGGGCTGGGCCTCCCACCGAGTCCTCTCCCAGACCCCTGCCCCAGGGCGGTCTCGCTGCCAGTCCAGCCTCAGCGTGCCTCAGTGTCCTCACTATGACACGGGCGCTGCTGGGCCTCCCAACGTGGCCTCCTTCCCCAGGCCCTGGCCTCAGGGCAGTCTCGCCGCCATTCTAACCTCAGTGTCTCCATCTACAAACGGGGCTACCATGGCTGAGCTCAGTTCTCGCAAAGGTAAAACAGGCTGCCACAGGCAGCAGCGCGACGGGTGCCTGGCTGGGGGGTGGATGATCTGCAGAGACGGTGACAATGAAACATTGCCGTCAGGCCCTAGCCTACGGCACACAGCAGGTGCTCACTCAGTGCACGGTTAGCCCATACATGGATGTGCTCACTGGATCTTATTTACTCCTCACATCGAGACTCTGAATTAAATGCTAGCCTCTTTCTGCAGGAGGCACAGAAGGGTGGAATCACTTGCCCAAGGCCACACAGCCCCTCACTGCACCCATGTCTGCTGGTTCCAGCCAGACCAGCCGCTGCTCACTCTTCAGCTGAGCGTTGGACTGTGTAACTCGGGGCCCAAGCTGTGGGTCACCCTGTAATGGAGCACCTGGGCTTTGTATTCCTTTGGCCTGGTATCCTTTGGCCTTGCCTTGTGAGAAGCCGTTTTGTGCTTCTGAAACCTGTGATGCCAGGTCAGGCTTTGTCCTTACAGAGCTGGGTCTCCCTAGCACAGAGTCAGGGGGTCACCAACTAGACTGTGGGGTGAGGGAGGGCGGCGGCCACCCTCACACCCCCACAGCCCATTAGACCCACAGCCTCAGCTACCCTGCACTCATGTCTGCTGGTTCCAACCGGACCTGGAACCGCCCACTCTTCGGCCAGACCTGGCCAGGCCCTCACTCTGGCTGCTCTCCGGGAAGTTGTGGCGTGCCCCCGCCACGGACACCCCAGAGCCCAACCGCCCTGGCCCTGGCCCTGGCCCAGGCCTTACTTGTAGGACAGCGTGTAGCCCACGTGGCTGTGGCTGACCCTGAGGAGGAAGGATCCCAGTGGCTGTGACTCTAGCAGGTCCTCGGCATATCTGTGAGGCACACGGAAGAGGAGGTGGCCACAGGCCGGCTGCCGGGGGCTGGCAGGGTCCTGGGGCTGGGGACCACGGAGGAGGCGGTGCTTTCCAGGTTTCTAAGTGAACAAACAACCTCCCGGCCATGGCAGACCTTGGTCTGTCAAGGGCAAGGACGTCCCCCAGAGGTGGCAGGAGCCTCTGTGACCCAGACTCCAGGCCAGACCTTCCCCACCTCCCACCGCCCTGCCCACTTGCCTCCCTGGCCTGGAGCCCCCCACGACGGCACCTTTGGGTCAGGGGTACCAGGTGACAGGGCAGGAGCCACCCTGGGTGCATTGAGCCTGGGCTCAGAGGCTGCGCTTGTGTACCTCACTCAGCATAGGCTACGTGTGCAAGCATTGACTCGGGTGTTGTTTTATTTTTATTTATTTTTTGAGTGGGAATCTCCCTCTGTCACCCAGGCCAGAGGGCAGGGGCACGCTCATGGCCACCGCAGCCTCGACCTGCTACCTCAGCCTTCCAAGTAGCTGGAACAACAGGCACACGCTACCACACCTGGCTTAATTTTTTTATTTATTGTAGAGACGAGGTCTCGCCAAGTTGCCCTGGCTGGTCTCTAACCTGTGGGCTCAGGCGATCCTCTCATCTCTGCCTCCCAGAGTGCTGGATTGACAGGCGTGAGCCACCGAGCCTGGTCTGGACATTGTTTTAAATCAATGAAACAGAATGCACATCAAACAGGTGTTAAACATTTCTATGACATAGTGCATTATATGACATAGATGTTAAGCCGGGCGTGGTGGCTCACACCTGTCATTCCAGCACTTTGGAAGGCCGAGGCAAGAGGATCGCCTGAGTCCAGGGGTTCAAGACCAGCCTGGCCAACTTGGCAAGACCTCGTCTCTACAAAAATCAAAAAATTAGCCGGGTGCGATGGCGCACACCTGCGGTTCCAGCTACTTTGAAGGCTGAGGCGGAAGGATCGCCTGAGCCCAGCAGGTTGAGGCTGCAGTGGCAGTAACCATGCCACTGCACTCAGGCCTGGGCAACAGAGGGAGGCTCTGACTTAAAAAAAAATCAATAAATAAAAATAAATATTTCATATTAAATAATAAAATGTTTATTAAATAAGTGAAACATAGGCTTGAGCAAAGTATGATGAAATAAAATATATGGTTAAATTAATTTCACCTGTTACTTTTCTTTCTTTTTCTTTCTTTTTTTTTTTTTTTTGAGTCGAGGTCTCCCTCTGTGGCCCAGGCTGGAGTGCAGTGGCACGATCACGGTCACCGCAGTCTCAGCCCTTGACCTCCTGGGCTCAGGGGATCCTCCTACCTCAGCCTCTCGAGTAGCTGGGGTTACAGGGGTGTGCCACCAAGCCCTGCTAATTTTTAAACATTGTTTTGTAGAGATGAGGTCTCACTCTGTGGCCCAGCTGGTTTCGAACTCCTGGGCTCAAGCGATCTCCCACCTCGACCTCCCAAAGGGCTGGTGTGACAGGCGTGAGCCACCGTGCCCAGCCACGTCTTTTAACACAGCTGCTAAAAATTTAAAACTGCAGCTCGTTATAGTTCTGTTGGACCACGTGGCCGCACCTCTCAGAAGCCACTACCCAATGCTTCCCCCCTGTGGCCTCTGCAGAATTCTCTCAATTTCCCGCATACAGAGGGTGGAGATAAACATTCTTTCCTCCACACATCGAGCCAGGCCTGGGGGGTAACTAACCAGGGGGGTTGCGTGTTCATGTCCTCAGAGCCCAGCCTGAGGCAGAGAGGGCACGCGGGTTATATCCTGATGGGTGAGAGCAGCGGCTCGGAGCACTGTGTTAAGGAGGCTCCTGAGGCTGTGTGCTGCCATCATTGATGGGTGATGACTGGCTCGGGTGAGGTGCGGTTGCCGCAGGCCGGGCTGGTGCTGGGCTCGTCCAGGACAGCCAAGGCCCAGAGAGAGCAAGAAACGTGTGCACAGAGGAGTCCGTTTTCAAGCCTGGGACTATGGAGTTCTGACCTTGCCACACTAAGCTGGGCTGAGCCCACAATTCCACAGTAAAAGCCTGCGAGGGCGGGGGGGTGGCCAACGAGGAAAGACAGCGTAGGGTAGGGCGCGGGGGGTGGATGTGTCTCACTCTCTCGAGATGGCACCGTGGAACCACTCGGGGACCCTGTCTCGGGCCAGCTGGGCCACCTGGGTGTGCAGGAACCAGTCCAGCCGCGGGGGCAGGGGCGGAGGCAGCTTCCTGACCTCTGTCATGGCTTCCTGGGGGAGGGGCTGCCTGGGGAGAGAGGGAGGGGGACCGTCAGGCTAGGCGCGCCTTCTATCTCGGCTCTGGTTTTGAGGCTTGACAGTGCCTCCTCCTTCGGGAAGTCCGCCAGGCTGGACGGGACAAGGAGCTGGCAGCTGGTTTGTGTTTCCTGAGAACCTGCTACGTGCCTGCCGCTTCGGACACATTCACGTCGGCTCTCCCCAGAAATCCTCGGTGGACTCTTCCTTCTCTTTATTGGCAAGAGAGCTGCCTGAGCCCAGGGGTTTGAGACCAGCCCGGCAACTTGGCAAGACCTCGTCTCTACAATAGATCAAAAAATTAGCTGGGTGTGGTGGTGCGCCCCTGTGGTTCCAGCTACTTGGAAGGCTGGGGCGGGAGGATTGCCTGAGCCCGGCAAGTCGAGGCTACAGTGGCCATGAGCGTGCCAGGACAGAGGGAGACTCCAACTCAAAAAAAGAAAAGAAAAGAAAAGAAAAAAGACATGTTTAACAGCTCTGGGGAGGGTGAATAAGAGCCTGGGACTGGAGCAGGCAGTCTGAGTCCAAGCCCTTTGGCTGCTCTGTGCCCTTGTACCAGTCACTTAATCTCTCTGTGCCTCTATTTTCCTCTGTAATTTGGGGTTAATGACACCTACTTGGGATGGTGTAGCTGGCACAGAGCAAGCGAGATATATATATATATTCATGAATCCAATTGTGATCTGGTACAGGGTCAAGTTTTTTTTTTGTTTTTTGGTTGTTTTTTTTTTTTTTTTGAGTTGGAGTCTCACTCTGTCGCCCAGACTGGAGTTCACTGGCCCCTCCGGCCACCGCAGCCTCGACCTGCCGGCTCCGGCGATCCTTCCGCCTCAGTCTTCCGAGTAGCCGGAATTACAGGGACGCACTACCACGCCCGGCTGATTTTTTGATTTATTATAGAGATGAGGTCTCGCCAAGTTGCCCAGGTGGGTCTCGAACCCACGGGCTCAGGCCATCCACTCACCTCAGCCTCCCAAAGGTGCGGGATTACAAGCTGAGCCACCGAGCCCGGCGGCTGTTCTTTTTTTTTTGAGTTGGAGTCTCACTCTGTCGCCCAGGCTGGAGTGCAGTGGCACACTCACGGCCGCCCCAGTGTCGACCCTCTGGGTTCCAGTGATCCTTCCACCTCAGCCTTCCAAGTAGCCGGAACTACAGGTGCATGCTCCTGCGCCTGGCTAGTTTTTGTTGATTTATTGTGGAGACGAGATCTCGCCAAGTTGCCTGGGTTGGTCTCGAACCCGTGGGCTCAGGCAATCCACTTGCCTCAGCCTCCCAAAGTGCTGGGATAACAGGCTGAGCCACTAAGCCCGGCCAGGGTCAAGTTTACAGGCGTCTTCTTTTTTCTACTTGGATGAACTTCTGGTTATCTTTCAAAATCCAGTAAAATGCCCCTCCTCCAGTCAACTTTCTGCCTCTCTTCAAAAAACACCCAGGCATCCCTCTCTGCCCCCACGGGTCTTGGCTGTGACCCCGTGGAGTTGGAGCGTGTGTGTCAGGCTCTGTCTCCTCCAGCCCAGGGCCCAGGGCTTGGCTTTGTGTTTTGGGTCTGCAGTGTTGCCTGGCATTGGCTGGGCACAGAGGAGGGGCAAGGGCGTGGGCTGGTGATGACCGCATCTCGTGGCGGAAGCGCCCACGCCCAGTCCCAGGACTCTGCCACGCTCTCTCCTTCCATGCCTTGGTCCCTGCTGTCCCCTGCCCGGAGGGCCCTGTCCCTAACTCAAGCTCCGTTTCCAGGGGTCACCTCTAACTCCCCCTCCTCCAGGAAGCCCTCCTCACGCCCCTGAAAGCTCTCCATGCCTCTCCCCACCCCACCGGTCCCGTCCCTCCCCCTGGCTGGCCCAGCCCCCACCCTGTCTCCTCCAGGGCAACGGGACCGTGGCACGTACCTGGGTGGCCCCCTCGGTGGCCGAGGCGCTGGCGTGGCGGTGGCAGTGCCTACAGAGGCCTGGGTTTCGATTCAGGGTCTGAGCGTCAGTGGGCGGGGCCGGCCACCCTGGGTAGTTCCTTTTCTTCCCAGCAGGTGTGCCCCGTGTGGGCCAGCCCCCGGCAGGCTTTCCTGAGCCCCCCACTGAGCCCTGGCTCCCAGGGAACGCAGGGGGCACCGGAGGCAGGGGCAGAGCCGGCGCTCCAGCATCTCTGGGCCTGCAAGGGCTGAAGAGCGCCGGGACGTCTGGGGGTGCTGTGGGAGGGTCCGGGTGAGGCCTCCTGCCCTGGAGGGAGAGGCCTTGGAGGACTAGGGGAGTCGGCTCGATGGCGGGGGGCGGTGCCCGACAAGTGTGTGGGCGGCGGAGGCTGCACTGGCAAAGGCCTTGAAACCCAGCTGAGGGGAGATGGCTCCACTCACCCAGCCCCACAGCAGGGCCTCCCCTGCAAAAGCAATGCACAGGGATGTTTGCTTACTTATTTATTTATTTATTTCGAGCTGGAGTCTCACTCTGTCGCCCAGACTGGAGTGCAGCGGCCACTCCCGGCACCCGCAGCCTCGACCTGCCGGGCTCCGGCGATCCTTCCGCCTCAGCCTTCCGAGTAGCCGGAACTACAGGCGCGCGCTACCACGCCCGGCTGATTTTTTGATTGATTGTAGAGACGAGGTCTCGCTGCCCAGGCGGGTCTCGAACCCACGGGCTCAGGCGATCCACGCACCTCAGCCTCCCAAAGGCGCGGGATGACAAGCTGAGCCACCGAGCCCGGCCTTATTTTTTATTTATTACGGACAGGGTCGCCTCTGTCGTCCAGGATGGAATGCAGTGGCACCATCATGGCTCATCACAGCCTCGACCACCTGAGCTCGAGCAATGCTCCCACCTCAACTTCCCAAGGAGCTGGGATGACAGGTGCCGCCAAGCCTGGTTAATTTTTTTTTTTTTTGATAGAGACAGAGTCTTGCTATGTTGCTCAGGCTGGTCTCAAACTCCTGGGCTCAAGGCAATCCTCCTGCCTCAGCCTCCCATATTGCTGGAATACGGGTGTGAACCACCACGCCCGGCCCAGAATTATATTTCGCAACTGCGTTGGCACCAAGGCCCCTGTCGTGCAGGCTGGATTCCTTATTGGATGCTTGCCCTTTGTGTGTTTGTTTTCTCCTTCTGACTTTGAGATAAGCTAGGACACTTTGGGAGCTGTGACACGCCACCTGGGTCCTGGGTGCGGCCCCACACCCAGGGCCTGGCCAGCCCGGGCTGGGAGCCGGCTGCCCAGGTATGGGCAAAGCTGCTTCCTCCTCCCTCCAGGCGGGTGCCCAGATCCCACTGGGCCCACAGGCCTAGCCGTCACCCTGCTGGCTGGACAGCCCCACCGTGGGCTCAGGCTGGCGCCCTCTCCTGACCTCCCCTCCTGGGGCCCTGGGATCTTGCCAGAGTCTTCCCTGCTGTGTGACCTTCTGAGCCCCACAGCCTCTCTGAGGCTCAGCTCCGCATCTGTGAGGTGGGTGTGGTGACAACCCCCCTTGGTCACGTGAAGGTGATGGGAGAGACAGCCCCCCAGTGCCAGCCGAGAGTAACACAGTGGCCTGCGTCTTGGGCAGAGGCTGGGAGACGCAGGCCTGGGCTCCAGACCTCACGGCTGGACTGCCCTGGTGCCTCGTTCCACTTCTCTGGGACTCACGCCCTCCACAGCCCAGTGGGTGGCGGGGGGAGGGCTGGGAGGGCCTGAGAAAGCCTTGCCCTGCAAAGTCTGACCATGGGGTCTCAGCCACGTTGGGCTCAGTCTCCAGGAGCACGGCCGGCTGGCCTGGCCCCAGCCCTCACCGAGGAGTCTCCCTCCCCGCCTGCCCCCCTGCCCTGCCGGGCTGTGTGGTCTCCCACAGACTAACGGCTTCCTTTCAGAATGTCACAACAGCCACCCCACCCGTGTCCGCAGTCCTCAGTCCGCCAACGACACACAGCCCCCAAAGGAAGGAAGGGGCCCAGCGTGGTCCGTGTGTGAGAAGACGGGGGTGCCCGTGGGGAGACAGCAGAACTGGGACCCGGAGGTGCCTCTCTCCGAGGTCAGCTTCTCCAGGGAGGCAGATCTGGGGCCCTCAGGAGGCTGCGGCCGGTGACTGACATCCACAGCCCACATGAGTGACTACTGGGTGGTGGCCACAAGCCAGCTCAGCACTGGGAAGAGGCTGGGACCGTAGATTTTGGGGACTAGGGGCATCCTCGGGTTTTTCCAGCTCAAGGCTTGAGACATTTTTCTTTCTTTTTTTTTTAAAAGCACGTGCCTGTGGTTCCAGTTACTTGGAAGGCTGAGGCAGAAGGATTGCCTGAGCCCAGCAGGTTGAGGCTGCAGTGGCCGTGAGCGTGCCTCTGTACTCCAGCCTGGGCAGCAGAGTGAGACTTCAACTCACAAAACAAAACACAACAAAAAGACAAGGACAGGGCCGGGCTCAGTGGCTCAGCCTGTAATCCCGTGCTTTGGGAGGCCAAGGTGAGTGGATTGCCTGAGCCCGTGGGTTCGAGACCCACCTGGGCAACTTGGCGAGACCTCATCTCTACAATAAAAATAAACAGATCAGCCGGGCGTGGTAGCGCGCGCCTGTAGCTCCAGCTACTCGGAAGACTGAGGCGGAAGGATTGCCGGAGCCCAGCAGGTCGAGGCTGCGGTGGCTGGGAGCGGCCACTGTACTCAAGTCTGGGCGACAGAGTGAGACTCCAACTAAAAAAAAAAAGACAAGGTCTCAGCCGGGTGTGGTGGCTCACACCTGTAATCCCAGCCGTTTCGGAGGCTGAGGTGGAAGGATCCCCTGAACCCAGCAGGTAGAGACTGCTGTGGCCATAAGCATGCTGTCCACTCCATCCTGGGCAACAGAGACTCTGAATCAAACAAACAAAAACCGAGGTCTCATTCCGTGGCTCAGGCTAGAGCGGCTCCATCATGGCTCACTTCAGTCTTGACCACCTGGGCTCAGGTGATCCTCCCGCCCCAGCCTCCTGAGTAGCTGGGACTACAAGCATGCACCACCATGCCTGGCTGCTTTGCTATTTTTTGTAGAGATGAGGTCTTGCTATGTTGCCCAGGCTGTTCTCCACTTCCTGGGCTCAAGTGATCCTCCCTCCTCGGCCTCCCAAAGTGCTGGGATGGCAGGCATGAGCCGCTGTGCCTGCTCTGGGCTTGACGTAACTTTATGGTTCCACTTTCCCACCACACTTCCATTCTGTTCATTCACTGATCTCGCAAACACCGGCCCTGCCCTGTGTAGGCGCCATGCTAGATGCCGGGCGTGAAGCATGAGACAGGACAGCCACGGTCCCACCCTGCTGAGTCCACAGTCCACGGGGAGACAGATGCTCAACAGGTTCCCGTGCAGAAAAGGTGGGCTGGAGAGGCGCCTGTGCCCCTGGAGGAGGAAACCTGGCTCGCTGGAGGAGCCCACAGCCAAAGCGTCCAAAGCTGGAGCCATCCAGCTATGCATCCAGGGAGAGACAGGATGAACAGGGAAAATGTGGTCCCTCCACACAATGAAACTGTACTCAACCGTGAAAAGCAGCGAGGGCCTGACACAGGCCACAACGTGGACAACCTCAAACACACGACACTCAGTGGGAAAAGCCAGACACAACAGGCCACATTGCGCGCAACTCCATTTTTTTCTTTTTGGATTTGGCCCGGGCTGGAGTGCCGTGGCATGCTGACGGACACTGCAGTCTCGACCTGCTGGGCTCAGGCAATCCTTCCGTCTCAGCCTTCAAAGGAGCTGTGACCACAGGCACGTGCCTCCGTGTCTGGCTGATTTTCTGGTTTATTGTAGAGACGAGGTCTTGCCAAGTTGCCCAGGCTGGTCTTGAACCCCTGGGCTTAGGCCATCCTCTTGCCTCCGCCTCCCAAAGTGCTGGGATGACAGGCATGAGCCACCCCACCCGGCTGCGTGTGATTCCATTGACGGAAATGTCCAGAACAGGCGAACCCAGAGAGACAGGAAGCAGATTCGTGGCTGTCAGTGCTTGGGGAGGGGGTGGGGAGTGACTGCTGATGGGACATGGTCCCCTTTTGGGGGGATGAGAATGTACTAGAGGAGGTGGCTGCACATGTGCTAAAAGCCACGGAACTGCACCCTTGAGTGGTGACCTATATCTCAGCAAAGTTACTTAAAAAAAAAAAACCAAGGTGTCATCTCTCTCCGTATAAGGGAACAATTGCTAAGGACCCCCCTCCCTCCCTGCCATGTTGTCAATGTTCTTAGAAACGAGGGCAACTGGGGACACTTGGAGCAAGAGATCAGGTACAAAGGAGTCCCAGGAATGCCAGCCCTGACTGGGGGCCACCAGGTGGAAATTCAGGGCAGTGGGGGCCAACGCAATGGCAGCTCCAAGCCGCAGCTGCTCAGGTGACTTGTGCCCGTTGGGGACAAGAAGTGAAGAGAGAAGTGGGTTCTTTTCTTGGGGCACAAGACAGACAACGATGATCACAATAATAAGACAGGAGCAGTGGCTCACGCCTGTCATCCCAGCACTTTGAGAGACCGAGGCAAGAGGACCATTTGAGTCCTGGAGTTCAAAACCAGCCTGAGCAACATAGCGAGAACTCGTCTCTACAATAAATCAAAAAATTAGCTGGGCGTGATGGCGCACGCCTGTGCTTTCAGCTACTCGGAAGGCTGAGGCAGAAGGATCGCCTGAGCCCAGCAGGTCGAGGCTGTGGTGGCCGTGAGCATGCCCCTGCAGTCCAGCCTGGGGGACAGAGT